TTCAGCCGTGGGAGCGTTATATGTGATGGTCAATCCCACTATTCGTGGGTAAAACAGTAACCCAAGAGTTGGCGGTGGGTGGTGATGACTAGCTGCCTTCCCTCTAGTCTTACACTGCTAAATTAGTGACGGCTAGCGCAGATAGCCCTCGTGTAGCTTTGCGCGAAATTCCAAACAAACAAAGCCATGTCCGTTCACATACCACGTGTAGCATTTTATATCTGAATATACATTTCTTCGCTTGGTGTGTGTATAGTCCTACACATGACAAATAGTTCCGTATATCACAACACATTCATTTCACTAATTCACGACAAGAATATTAGGCATAAATACCCTAATAAATACCTTTATTATTAACTAGTTAAATGATATTTCCATTTAAAGTCTAACACCAGGTGGCTTGTTGTTACTCTTAAAGTACAATTAACTTGGGTACTTGGGTATATTTTTCAACATGTGTGATGTAGCTAGATAGTGACGTCAGTAACTCGTTCTTATTGAGATTTTTCGTAAAATACTTATTTAAGCTATGTAGGAGCCTGCCGATTATTTTCTGCATATTTGTATAGGAAATTTGTTGTTTTTGGTACTTTATATGTTTGTTTTGGTCTGAATTTCGCGCAAAACTACACGAAGGCTATATGCGCTAGCCGTCCCTAATTTAGCAGTGAAAGACTAGAGGGAAGGCAGCTAGTCATCACCGCCAACTGTTTGGTTACTCTTTTACCAACGAATAGTGGGATTGACCGTCACATTATAACGCCCCCACGGCTAAAAGGGCGAGCATGTTTGGTGGGACAGAGATTCACACCCGTAGATTGCTAGTCGAGTGCCCTAACCACCTGGCCATGTGTTAATAGTTTTGGATTCTCATCGTTTTCAAAGAAAACAAAGTAACTGGTTTTTACCCACGTTTTAGGCCTCACGAAGTGATTGCGCCCTCTAGAATTGTACAAAGATCTGAAGTAGGTAATAATGTCCTATTACCAATTTTATGCGTTTCATGTAACTGTTGTAAAGTAAAATAAACGTCCATTTTTTTCTGTTATGAAGAAGCACTGTATATATATACACACATGCTACGTTTCAGTATGAATTTTGTGGCTTAAATTAATGAATTTCTGTGGTAGCATTTCGTAACGCTACGAAACGTGCTGATAAGCCCAGTAAAGTAGAATATATACATGTATATATATATATAGTAATGTGTATTTAAATAAACGGATTTTTATTTTTACTAGTAGCAGGATTGTATTTCCCAAGTTGAAGTAAAATCTGGCATCCAAGGCTTTAGGCCTACTTCGGGTGGACACCTTTCAGCCTTGGCCCGGATTTCAACATCTAGAAATTTTTTAATCTTTTCTTCAATGTTTGGCACTTGTTCCCTGGCCCACTCCAAACATATTTGTTGAAGCTGGTTAAGATAGATTACCTGGCTCTCATCTTGCTATCACTACAGCTTTAATTCAATTCGAATACCTTCATAATGCATATACTCACGTGTTTATTTTTGAGCCAAGATTTATTTTCTTTGATTTTTTTCGGTTGTTTCAAAACTGCAATATCCAGGCGTGACCTAATAAGTGCCCGGACTGTGGATTTGAGGATTCGTGGTTCGCCGCCATTTACCCCCAAAACGTAATTCTCACTTTCGGGTCGTGGGTATAGTATAAGAGTAGTTATATCCAACTATTATTCGGACAAGGTTTAGCGGTGAGTACTAGCTACCTACTATCTAATCCATCAGTTCAATATTAGAGACGGTAGCTCTAAGTCATCGGAAGGGGGGATATCGGAAGGTACATTCACACGAGGATGCGTGCCCAGACTGGTATTCTGATGACTCATGATTCTCGTCCCGTTGAAAAAACGCGCTCGGCACATTGGGGACTTGGGTGCTCTGTGAAAATAACGGTTACATCCCACAGTTCGATCAAATAAAAATATCCAAAGAGGTGGCAGCGGACGCTATTAACTAGTTGCCTTCCCTCTATCAGCCCAAACTTAGGGACGGCTGTGCGCAGATAGCTCTTATGTAGCTTTGCGCGAAAATTCTTAACAAACAACAACATCTGTAAACCCTAAAATTGCCCCAAAAGTTGTCCTAAAGGTGAATGTAATGTTACTAAATTGTCATCTATTAATATTTGCTCACATTTACCTGGAATATTATAGGCTTAACTGAAGCATCGTTTTCCTTCTCCATATTAAACAAATTTGAACCGCCCTTGTTAGTTTTAGGCCTAATCTGCAGTTTTCCAATGGACGGCATTGTTCCATATTAGCTTTCTTACATATATAATCACCCTAGTGGAAAGTCTTAAAAACAATATGGTTTTAGTGTAGGTTTAGGTATTGTGTTTTGGACACCTGAGAAATCTTCTATGGCCAGGAAAGTGCCTTATTTATTTTCGTTTGTTTTGGCGACATTTCAGTTTGGGTTGAATTTCGCGCAAACTACACAAGGGCCATCTGCGCTACCCTTCCCTAATTTAGCAGTGAAAGACTAGAGGGAAGGCTAATGGGATTAACCGTTACATTATAACGTTCCCACAGCTGAAAGGGCGAGCATGTTCAGTGACAGTGATTCGAACCCGTGACCCTCAGATTGCAAGTCGAGCGCCTTAACTACGACGTATGACATTTTTATTTATTCTTCCTCTCCTTGGGCCCGGCATGGCCAGGTGGTTAGGGTGCTCGACTCGCAATCTGAGGGTCGCGGGTTCGAATCCCCGTCCCAGCCGTGGGGGCGTTATAATTTGACGGTCAATCTCACTATTCGTTGGTAAAAGAGTAGCCCAAGAGTTGGCGGATAAGTGGCGATGACTAGCTGCCTTCCCTCTAATCTGACACTGCTAAATTAGGGACGACTAGCGCAGATAGCTCTCGTGTAGCTTTGCGCGAAATTTCAAAAACAAACAAACAAACAATCTTCCTTTCCCCTCTCCCAATGTAATATTTCAAATCTGCATTACTGTATTTCAAGTGAACATAAAAATCACAGACTCTTCATTTGTAAAATAATGAACTCATCTCAAATAAATCACGTAGTGAATAATCTCTTGAAACGTTTGATAAGTAAAAAAAAAAACGCCTCCCAGACGGTAAGTGATTAAACGAAGGTGCAGAAGAATGGCGGAATTTCGCTATGACTTTCCTGGTACATTTCTTCCATGGTTGTTTACATACATTGAACGTGACAGGTTACCATCTGTCTTAAGCCTTTGTAAATCTTACAGACTTTGTATTTCTAAATTCTTTGTCTAATCTTGGCGAATACGCACGTCTCAGCAGAATATTATTTTCCACGTTTATCGAGCTGTGATAAGCCCTCGGCCCTCAGGCGCGTACAAAAGTAATTTTAGTTTCAAACTAGCATTATTATGTATGTGGCCATTGTTTTATCTCGATTTGCCTGGATACCACGTTGATTTTTTTTTTTTATCGTGTACTTCAAAATTGATGGGCAGATAAAAGTGATTGATGTATTTACGTTGTGAAAATTGCATTCATCAGATTTAGATCACCCTTATTTTTATTTGGTTTTTACCCCTTTTTTGAATGTTATCTTGACCTCGAAGATTGGTGAAGGTCAGTCATCACGTATGCTAAAAACTACCGACCCTCCAAAGTCAGGCTCCAATACTCAGTCAAGAAAGGAGGAAACATTTATAGTAGCAGGAAAAAAACAACATCTAAATGGCACGTGTGGACTTTGTCTTCATTAGTTTAAACTTTTTAGTCGTTTCGATTTGATTTTTTCTGTAACGCAAGATAATAGATTTTGCTGCAAGAATTATTGTAGAATTTCTTCAATGATCTGTGACGACTTATCGTATTTTGATTTCTTGCCAAAAAAAAAGAAACAACAACAAAAAACAAATAAAGAATGGTGCAAGAAGTAGCTGTGGTCTTTTGTTAATTTGATGGATAGATCCAAGGCAGTAGACTATATCGGTCTGTCAACCCAGGGAGTTGGCTCAGTCAGTGTGCACAACGCTCTTGGTTATAGTTTGTCATGTGTCGGTGCTGCTTCCAAAAAGAAGTTGAAAACAACATTTCACTCATTCTCTCTGTCATGGGTGCGGGTGTAGGCTAGACTTCTGTGTTCTTGTATATATATATATATATATATACACACACACTGTTGTAAAACTTCCTATTCAACTTGGATTACTGCCAAAGATGCATAGGATTCAGAATTAAAAAAGAACAGCGTTTTTTGTTCATGTTTAATTCCTCTTCAGTTATTGGTAATTATTTTTCTTCATATTTAATTTCACCCTAGGTTGTTGATTGCTCCCCAAGTGGCACAGCGGCATGTCTGCGGACTTACAACGCTAGAAATCGGGTTTCGATACCCGTGGTTGGCAGAGCACAGATAGCCCATTGTGTAGCTTTGTGCTTAACTTCAAACAAATTGTCCAACAAACCATAGGTTGTCAGTGATTATATTGCGATGTTTAATTTCCCCTATAAGTTGTAGGTAATTATTTTTGTTCATGTTTAATTTCCCCTATAAGTTGTAGGTAATTATTTTTGTTCATGTTTAATTTCC